GGTCGCTAACTGGCTGGAGGGCCGCACCCAGAGAGTGGTGGTGGACGGGTCATTTTCGACCTGGAGGGATGTGGGCAGTGGGGTTCCCCAGGACTCGGTCCTCGGACCCGCGCTGTTCAACATCTTCATCAGCGACTTGGACAAGGGGGTGAAAAGCACACTATTCAAATTTGCAGATGACACTAAGCTGTGGGGGGATGTGGGCATACTAGAAGGGAGAAATAAGCTGCAATTGGACCTGGACAGGTTACAGGGGTGGGCGGATGAGAACAGGATGGGTTTCAACACTGACAAGTGCAAGGTGCTGCACCTGGGGGGGGAAGAACCAGCAGCACACCTACAGGCTGGGGAACTCGCTTCTCGTCAGTGCCAAGGCAAAAAAGGATCTTGGAGTCATTATCGATGCCAAAATGAACATGGGCTGACAGTGTGGAGACGTGGTCAGGAAGGCCAACCCCACCTTACCATGCATCCACAGATGCATCACGAGCAGGTCCAAGGAGGTGATCCTCCCCCTCTATGTGACACTGGTCAGGTTGCAGTTGAAGTACTGTGTCCAGTTCTGGGTGCCGCACTTCAGGAGGGATGTGGACAGCATCGAGAGGATCAAGAGGAGGGCCACCTGCATGATGGGGGGGCAGCAGGGCAGACCCTACGAGGAGAGGCTAAGGGACCTGAACCTGTTCAGCCTCCACGAGAGAAGGCTGAGGGGGGATCTAGTGGCCATTTACAAACTAGTCGGGGGGGACCAGCAGGCATTGGGGGAGTCCCTGTTCCCCCGAGCACTCCCAGGAGTGACTAGAAATAATGGTCACAAGCTGGCACTGGGGATTCAGACTAGACATCAGGAGGCGCTACTTCACAGTTAGGGCGGCTAGGATCTGGAACCAACTTCCAAGAGAAGTGGTGCTGGCTCCTACCCTGGGGGTCTTTAAGAGGAGGTTAGATGAACACCTTGCTGGGGTCATTTGACCTCTGTACTGTTTCCTGCCATGTCAGGGGGTTGGACTTGATGATCTGCTCAGGTCCCTTCCGACCCTATCAACTATGGAACTATGAAAAGAGGCAAGACATACGTATCAAGCCCAGACTTCTATGATTTACATCTCAAAGCACTTTATTTTAGGGCATTAATACACGTGCTGGGGGGGGGCTTCAGTTACAGCGGCTCTGTGAGCCACTCTAATTAAAGCACCTGGAGCATCACGTGCATCAGTATCCCCATGCTCAAAAATGGCAGAAGTGGCTCTTGTCGAATGAGCTTTAGTTAAAGTGCCCCGCCATCATTTTGCAGCACAGGGATGCTGATATGTGTGATACTGGAGTCTGTTGGAGCGCAGTAATTACCATGCTGCAGCAGACTCGAGTAATCTAGTCTGCTCTGACGCTGTAACTGCAGCACATCTAAGCAGCCTCGCTGCACCTGTCTATCTGGTTGCTTGCAATAGTGCAATATAGAGTCGCACCTATACTGCTCGAGGAGATGCAGAAAGGAGGAGGATGGGTCATCTTGGATTTTCTGAGTTCTTCAATTTTCCCTTCAGTCTGTGTCTCATGTTTACACGGCTTGCTCTACTGCACGTTCTGATTCATTTCTTTGTTTCACTGAGGCTTTGGGAGCTGGACTGAACTGGCTTTCTTACGGTTTTGGAAAGTGTCAATTTGATGGGATTTATGGCCTTACGAACATTACTGTTGTAGAAAGGCAGCTTCCTTATTTCCTTGCTTTGTCATTTTGGAATATTGATGCCACTGTCCTGTTTTCATTTCATTTTGGTTTATGCTTTTCACTAACAAGGCTGCTTTGTTTTTACATCTTAACTAAGAAACTTAACACAAATATATTTATTGTAGCAAAACTATATCGAATACATTCAACTACAACAGTCATTGCTATATAGCTAAAGCTATACATACTGTGTTTGGATGATCTATTTTAAGGCCTCTTGTATAATGCCTCCTTTCAGGCCTTTTGCTCTGTTTGGTTTGATCTCACTGCTGGTTTAGCTGGATGCATTAATTGCTTTCTTTACCCTGCTGACCAGGCTGTCTTCAAAAGTTCATTCTGCGGTCACTCAGAACAGGCTTGGGGGCCTTTAGCTTTAGCCATACATCTGCAGCTTTGTGTAGGCCTCTTGAACAAGGCCAGAGTTGGCAACGGCACTATGTAATGCAGAGGTTTAGTGTGGGGAAAAAATGGTGCGAGTCCATGTAATTATGGAAGATATCAGAATGCATATGCGCATGACTTATGTATTAACATTGAACAGACGACCTCAATTTTGGCATTTCCTAGCTTTTGAGTGTTTTGCAGACTTCGTATTCTTTTAACATAGGTCTGTTTATTGGTTTTTCTGATTATAAAACATGAACAACTGTTATCTTTTGCAGATGGTTTCTTCAGTGCAACCTAAGAAAAATAAAGTCCACAAAGACCAGGAATCAGAAGGGGAAAACCAGAATGAAAAGGTATTCTTTCCATTTGGAGTCATGTTATGAATATTAACCCCCCCTCCCCCATACACACACATACACCCCTTTTTTTTCCTTTTTTTTTTTTTTTTAGTAAAAGTGGTAAAGTAAAATCTTTACAAAAGCACAATGATACGTTTTGTAACAAAATTGGATAATATTCACTGAAAGTAATATTTACTGGTTTTATAGCTCTTTTATTATAGAGATCAAAATTCTTTTATGGAAGTGAATAAGCTGAAGATCGTGAAGATTAGCTGCTCCTTCTTCCAGAGTTGATAGGAACATTTGGGAAAAAATACTGTTCACCAATTCCAAAATATTCTTTTCTGAAATAACTTGGGTTTGGTGAAGATCCCTTCCTGGATTCTTGGTGGGTGTGGTGCAGAGCTAGGCACTTTGGGAACTTATGGGCTCTATTTTGAGGCTTGCAGTGGAACTGCCTTGTAGATTTTCCTGAGGGTCCCAGATAAGGAGAGTTCCCTGGAGGAACCGAGTGAAATCAGCAGACAGGGGCCAAGGAGCTTCGGTTTGCTAGACGTTGGAAAAAAATTTGGTTTTGTTTCAGATTACCTTTGACTCTCCTCCTTGCGGTAGATTTGCCATAAAGTAAAAACATTGTAAAAGTAGTTGTTGTTTCTTTACAGTTGCAAGATTACAAGGCAATTCTTTATATTAATGGATTGGTCAGTGCACTAGTTTGAGGTTGCTAGGCATGGTAAGTCTCTATTCAAACAAAATAGTTGCTGACATGGCCTCACTGTTAAGACTGCTTACAGAGTTTCACCTTTTTATTTCCTGACTTTCAATTAAGAGACTTTTAAAATTAAAATAAAACCTTCAAATTTTTATGCTTGGTTACCTAACTTTCAGCACCTGAATAAGGTCCTGATTAAGTGCATGCTGAAATTCAAACAGCTGAATTAGTCCCATCTTTATTTGATGTAGCACTTAAACAAGTGTTTAAGTCAAACTGAACTCAGCAGGATGTAGATATCTGAATGGTCTTAGGATTTTGAGTTCAGTCTTACTGATCTGGATTATTTTGCTTTCAGTGGGAGCTGTGGGTGTCCAGCATCTCTGAAAATCACTGATTTGGATACCTAAGCTTTGGCACAAATATCAAACTGGGATGCATTGTAGTTTTTATTAATGAGCTAAAGAGAGAGCTAGTTAGCCATGTTAGTTTGAAGTCAGGCAGATGGCAGGGCAAAGTGGCACCATATTCAGTGGGGATCAGCCTTTTTGGCAGGCATGCCACAAGTTAGCCTAACACCCTCCCCAAGTGCCACTCTGACCCCTTCTCCTGCCTGATCTACTGCTCTGCTTTCTGCTTGCTGCCTTATCAGCTACTGTGCTGCCTGTCCCTTCCCTAATGTGCTACATGCCACATTCAGAAGCTGCCCATGCCACTTGCCCAGTGCCACAGGTTGGCCACACCTAGACTAATTAATTCAGAGAGGAGTAAGCTTTCATGAGCAACAGCTTACTTTGTCAGAAGCTATGAGAGAAGCATTTGAGAAAGTAAGCTTTTACTCATGAAAGCTTATGCGTGTCTGAATTAGTTCAGGGGTGTCAAAGATCTGGCCCATGGAGCCCTCTGATCCAGACTGTTGGGCAGTCTACCAGAAGTTGGTGGGTGGTGCCAGGAGGCAGGGACTCTGAGGCCTGATGAACTCTGTGATCAGTGGCAGGGGCAAACACAAGGGTGTGCAGATACAGCTGCACTCACCCTGTGTCTGCTGGGCTCTTGCCGTTGCTTCCAGACCTGCTGCAGCTGTTACCAGCCCTGCAGATCCGGCTGAAGAAGAGCCCTACCATCTGGTTCCGGCCAGGCGTGGGTTTGATACTGAGCTGATGTGTAAGTTGCCATTCTGCCCTGCTTTTTATCTGTTTTATTAATGTCTTAGAGTAGAAATCTGCTTTGGGGACCTGAGCTAGGGATTGTGGCTTGGTACCCACGGGGCTGTGCAACAGAGTTTAGGATCGTGTTACTGTATGTGTTGGACTAAAGTGAAATCAGTTTAGCCTGGCTTCTTGGGATATGCTGAACCATTTGTGTGTGAACTAACTCAGTACTCTGGTGTTGACAGGCATACTCAAAGGCCCTTAGAAAGTGTTTGGCAGACTGCTTTCGAATGGTTCAGAATCTATGGGTTTTCATGTTATCCCAGCGAAACGAGGAAGGTGTTTATATTAAAGCTTCCCTGGCAGTGAGTAATACTAGTAATAAAGCAGTTACAGTACTCCTTTCTTGGTTGTGTTATCTATTTTTCTAATCCAAAAAGCACATCCACTTGCAGTCTGCTGCTTTTAATCTCTAGGACTCCAGTGTGTTGCATTTTATGGCCTCAGAAGGTCAAGGAGTGAGCTTAAGCTTCTTCAAAGCTGGTAAGGTACCCCTTCTATTGGTGCTGTAACTTGCTGGGTGGAATATAGAACAGTGCCAATGAATAAATATGTAGCCCCTTTTTAGCTTTGAGCATTAATTCACAAAGCAGGCATACTGTGCTTCAGCGGGGCAGCTCTCAGTAAAAAAAGATGTTGCTATTAGTAGATGATTGCCTTGCATTCCTGTGGGAAATCGCTGGTATTTCTACTCTAGTCTTCAAAGTGTCACAGAAGAGCTAGCTTTGAAAGCAATCATATCAGCTAGAAAAGCTGCTCTTCTTCTGGTGTAATATCTGTTAATTACTAGGGGCTTCTTCTGTTACACCTTGGAGCATATTCTGGTATAATGACAGACGTACTAAATAATAATTATTTTTTTTTAAACAGAAGACTCTATATGACCTGTTTTTAATGGTTGGCATTCTTATGGCAAACTAAATATAAAAGCTGTGTTATTTTTACAACTGTAGCAGCAAAGCTTTTCCTTTGGAAAAAATGGGTCAGTTGAAATGCATGTGGTCAGGTGCTCTGCAAACGGATGAGTCCAAGAGGTAGCTATGCAGTTTTGTGAATTTCTACCTTAAGTTGCTCTTTTGGGATAGATTCTGTAGCTTCTCTAAGTCAAATCCAAAACCCATTGCAGTCAATGAGAGGGTTTGGGAGAGCAGAGCAAGGAGAGCATTGTGCAGTTTTGGTGACTGTGCAGACGCACACTTTCATAAAAAATCCAGATTACTATGCATTTTTGGCAAGTGGTTGTGGAAACTGCACTCATTTTAGTTGCTTATGATATTATTCCAAAAGAAATATTTATTTTCCTTTTTAAATTCTTGTACTGTATTGATACTTTTTGATTTAAAAATGTAATGGCAGCTCACTGGAAATTATATCTGAAAAAAGGGTTTGATTTTGTGTGTGTGTTCTTCTTTGTAATAACCTCAAGAAGCAAGTAACCCAATACTTTTGAACCTTTCGTTGTTTTAGTTTACTGTGAGGTGGCGTCTGGTATTACCTCCTTACATTTCTTTTTAGCAGTTCCCAAATGATATTTCCAGCCTTTTATGCACTCCTTCCATTGAATCAACAGAGAGACATTTTTAGATTCCTCTTCTTTTGCTTTGCCCTGGTCTTACATATTTTAAAATTAAATTCCACCCTAATTCAGCTGTACCAGGTTTGTTGGTCACAGTAACTTAAAACAAGATAGCAAAGTACATATTTCAGTGTTTTGTCAAACTCAAGAAAAAATGTCCTCTTGGAAATCTGTTGTATGGTATATTTTAGACATGGCCATGAAATGAGACTTGTCTTTAAAAATCAGACTAAAGAAACATTTATAATTTAATAAGAAATACTTGGTACATTGGCAGAAATCTTTGAAGTGAGTTCTGCTCGTTCGTGAAGTATCCATGGATTTGGTGCATTGACCGTACATTGTAATCAAGTTGAGCTTCCTGCAAAAAGTGGTATCTGTTGCCTTAATTCTCTCAGATGTTGTGTGTAGTCCAAGGTTTTACCTGTATTTCTGAAGTTATTAGTGTTCCCAAACTGAAAACAAATTTCACACTCCTAATTTCCATGTGGTGGGTAAGTGCCACGTGTGTGCTTGAAAGAATGGAAAAATAGATGTAACTTAAGTGCACTAAATGGAGGTGCTCACAGTTGTTAGATTTCATTTTTTCCTTAATTTTACCTGATGCCAAATCTTCCTCTGGGGCAAGAATATTGTTTCAGAGAAACGTTTACAATTCAGGGGCATATTTAAGGTCCCCATACGAGTAACCTACTTCCTTTGTGTGGTGCAGGGTTGCCACGCTAAGGTTTTTGTCACATAAAGGTGCTTGGTGGTACGTAGGGCTTGAGACAACGCAGTATAGCCACAAGCGCAGGGAGCAGTCAGTGGGTCTTTATCAGATAGGCGGGTACAGATTGTGTGGGTGTTACTGTAGTCATGAAGGTAGCAGCCAGACGTATGGTTCTGCTGCTTGGTTGTTTCTGCTGAAAAGATTCCCTCCCTGTAGGATGAAAGTAGTAGGAAAGATTCCTCTTGAATGTTTTCAATTGATGTAGCGTGTTTTGGTTCAGGCCCTACGTGATTTTTTTTTTAAATCAAAAAATCAAATGATGGAGTGGAGAAGACTTGCACTAGCCTCATGGAGCCCCTAGTGTCATTCCCTCTCCCCTTGCAGCTAAAGTTTTAACTGTGTCACAGCCACTGCCAATTTGGTGGCAGCTTTTGGCTGAGCAGTGGCTGTGACATTGTTTAAGCTTTAGCTGCAAAGAAAGAGTGAGGGACACCAAGGAGTAGACCCTGTCCCTACTCTATGAGGCTTGTCTTTAGCCATGACTTTTTTTTCATTTTGCCCTCTCAAAGCAATGTAAGTATTATTTGGAGGCATGTGGTATGCAAGACAATATGGTGTACCTCTCTTTAAAAAGATCCTGATGGGAACAAAGAGAATGACTTGCTTACCTGGACGTTCAACAGGCTTTAAGTGTTGAGTTTTAAATGGGTTCGTGACTGGATATCTAAGCATGTGTCTACACTATGTCAGCAGCATGTCCTGGCTGGGATAATCCTGAGCATCTCCCAAATGCCTTGCAGGCTCCCAACCTGGCACTGTTCAGCAGACCAGGGATGGATGACTCAAGAGCTGCTTGTGGGCAAATGGCCCTGCGTGCCACATTTTTAAGTTAGAGGCATTCAAATAGGAGCAGATGGGCAAGGGCATGCCTGGGACATGCTAGGGATGCAATGTAGATGACATCTAAGTTATTTAACAGAATTACAGTGGTGCTGATATGTCAGAGACAATTGAAGATGTTGTTGCAAATTCTCCACCTCTAGCTACAGAAATCTGAGCAGCACTTTCTGAATCTTTTGGCTGTGTGTGTGTGTGTGTGTGTGTGTACACACGTGCACGCACATATACCTACACACATTCCTTTTTTGCAGGGTGGGGAGAAAGCCTTTTACTTTATTTTGTGTTGGCTTTTGGGAAACAGATGTTGCTGTTTTGAGGGGCTCTTATCTAAGCACCTTTATTGCAAATTGGATGGAATTCATTTGATTTATGCTGTTCTCAGTGGAGCACTTTCCTGTAATAATTTTTAAACGGGCAGGATGATGTCAATTCTATTATCTCCTACAATTTTATAGATAGTTTGCATTCCAATTGCTGGCTGGAACTTTTGAATAAAAATTTAGACTTAAAAATATTTGACAAATCTAAGTGCAGATAGATCCTGCTTTCATTATACACACTGGAAAGTATTATGCCTGATTTAATGTTTGGGCTACAAATGGCATTTCTCAGCTACAGAAGAAATTCATTACTGGCATTCTTGTTGCTCTAATGGCACACTGTACTCACTGTTCGCTTGCTAAAGTGCATCCTGCTATTAGTGGTGTGGTTGTATGGGATGTAATTGAATATAATTTAGTGAAATCATGTAGCTAACTATGGCATGATCCAGTTACTTTGAGCTATAAAAACAGTAGCTTGGATGTACAAGCTTGTGTTTTCATTAGATTCCACAGCCTGCTCTTTATATCTGATATGCGCCGCTACATGTATCCTTATAGGTACTGTCTTTATTTATGTGAGGTAATACCATTTTATTACAAGTTGCAGTTCAGATTAATTTTTTAATCAAACCAACGTTGAGATGAAATATTCCATGCTAAGACTACAGAAGCCATAAGTGGCTGAGTTCTTATTTTGTGTGCCCTAAGTGTGTTGTTTTTAAGTTGGACCAGGGAACAGTGATGGCAGAGGCACAAAGGATTTGAATCCAAGATCAGGAATAGAATATAATTTTAATGTTTTGTTTTAACCCCTCAGTTCATTGTCAAATGTTTGCTAAGCTCTAGTTAAGTATGTTTACAGTGAAATGCCAATATTTTTCTAACAAACAGACATGCAGTCCATTTCATACCAATATTATCTTTTTTTTTTCCAGCCTTCAAACCGTCTGTTAAATGTTTCTTTTAAAAAAAAAAAATGTAATGGCTGAAGAGGAAATGAACTATGGAGTTTTAAGGAAATGTTTTAAACTAAACAATACGAGTGTGGTTAGATTTTGTAGTTGAGTGGAAGGATGCAAGTAATTTTGAAGATAGTTAGCACAGTGCATTATATCCTTTTTATTTTTAATCCATCAGAGAAATTGTGGGGCACCACCACCAATGAAACTGCCACCTCCGTATAAAGCACCCAAAACATTCCAAGCAGAGGAGGAGGAGGAGGAGGAGGAAGAGGACGATGCTTTTACAGAGCGTAAGTAGTACCATATTTTACTAAGAAGGATGACTGTGTTTATGGAGCGTGGTTTGTGTGTGTGCCAGTACTAAACAGCAGTTACATAGGTCGTTATGAGTATTGTATACAAGAGAATTGCTATCTCTCGTGTTCTACATTACACTGAATTGGGCTTACTACTTATCGTTGACTGCAATCCCACAGCTGCTTCTCTGAAAAAATGTTGAAAAGTGCTGGAATTGGTTTTAGATCAGTTGGGCAGACACTGCTTTGTGAGATCTAGGCTGATCCACAGCGTGTTTAAGGTATCCGTGCTTAAAGACAAACAGGATACTTCACCCTTGTGATAGCAAGAACTGGGCAGACCACAGCTTGATGGCTATCAGTAGAAGAAACCCTGCCCCAAAGAGCTTGTGGTGTCAGACAATGCCCACGGTAAATTGTGGCTAAAAAATCTTTGGTGACAAAGTATTTTGTTAAAAGGAGTGATTCTCTTTCATGGAGCACTTTCAATTAAAATGCCGCAGATGTCTACAGACTTTATACCATGGTTTATACTTGGCTGTGCATGGAAGTCAGACAGCTGTAGGATGCAGCCTGTGTCTGTTCCACAATGTGCAGGACAAGACAAAATCACACTAGCTGCTGGAGTATCTGAGAAATTTGTCAAAATTAGTCATTCTGTGGATTTCCTCTCTTCTTGTTCCTCTCTCTCTTGCTATGGGTAGACAATTATAGCATATGTGTTTGGGGTTTTTTCCTTTGGTTTTTTTTTTTTAACTTTTGTGGGTTTGTGGTCGTCATGTGTTTGTGTCTTTCCCACAAAATAGGCTGAAGCAGAGAGATGCATTTTATTTATAGCCAGGTTTGTGGTCACAGCTAGCTTTTGTGGGTGGAAGTTCCAAAGCTGCGTGTCTGATGAGAAAGCTGTCGTTTGTTCTTGTTGATGGTATCTTTGTTGTTGCCAATTGCCAGTGTGCCTACCAAACAGTAGTGATATCCCCTGGTCACAGAAGTGGAGATGATTTGGGCCAATTCAATTCAGGGCTGATAGGAATCTTGATCAGTTATTTTCTGGCTGTATATTTCAGTGGGTTTCTGGCTTCAAAGGTCAGCTGCTGGCTGTCATGTCAAATGGAGTTTCTTTAAAGCTCCAGCATTTGGTCTCAAGTACAGCGTGTTATACAAATTGAGTTTAGAAATGTCCATGCTTAGATCCTCTTCTGTCAGGTTGGCGGGCGCATCTTGACCAACTAAAGAGAAGGTATTTCTGGTTGTGATAGGTATTTGGGTGTCCATTAGTAGGGAGGAGAAACGTGTGTAGTATTTAACTCCTAATTCTCTGGATTTGGGACAAGTAGATTTTGTAATTTTAGACCAAACTTTTCAGTCCTTAATCTACCTGATGACCCAGTTTACCAAGGCTGGTGGTGTTGGTTATAAATGGCAGCAGAGGAATGTGCTCCAGGCTTATGCTGCTTGATGAGGACGTGCTTCAACCCAAGCATTGCATGGCAGCTGGCAGAGTTAGGCCCCTGCCACACGTTACACTTAAGGCATGATTAACCAGTTAATCACGTCTTTAGTTGTAACCCAGCCACATGTTAAAGCAATTAATGACATCATAAAACAAGGAATAAATCACAGAGTTATTCCCTAAATTGTGTAATAACTTTGTGGCTTGCTCCCATGACATCATTAATGAATGTGTGGATCATGCATCAGATCCCATCTCATCTTTACCTGCATGTCTGGAGGGGCCCTTAATTTTGCATCTTACACAAGGATGCTTTGAGAGATTGTCTGGGTCGCACTGCAGCCAAGAAGCAGCTCCCAGTGGTCAGGCCATCTGAGATCTACTCCGTGAAAAGCTAAAGAGATTTTTTGGTTAAATCAATCTTGCCTTGTTTGGCTGCAGGGAGCAATTTATGTAATTCTCTTCTCCCCTGCGCATTTCCTAGCATCCTTTCTTCTTCCATATCTTCCCTCCCTTTCCATCCCAAAAATCCCTCCAAAGCAGGGGTGGGCAATTATTTCAGGCGGACGACCAATTACTGAGTTTTGGCAAGCCATCAAGGGCCGCATGACAGGCAGCCAGGGGCAGATAAATATTAATGTTCTAAATTTTTAGGGGCCCCACGGGCCGGATAGAATAGCCTGGAGGGCCGCATATGGCCCCTGGGCCGCATTTTGCCTACCCTTGCTCCAAAGCCAAGCTGTCTCTCCTACCTCAAACCTTGGTCTAAATAACCAGTTACCAAGCCAGTGTTGAACAAATGTATCTTTGCATTTTATTCCACTTTCTGGTGATCTCCATGTCTTTACTTCTCCACTCCCCCACAAATTTGTTCCAACTGCTCATATGCTCTTGAGATCAAACTAACACTGGGGTGAGCAAAACACGGCCCGTGGGTCAGATCTGGCCCACCAGGCAATACCAACCGGCTTGTGGGGCCCCTCTGTAAGACCTCTGTAAACCTTGGCCCTGGGTTGCCCCTTTGCAAACCGGCACCTCCATGCAGGAGGGGTGGCTGCGGTTGCTAAGCAAACCTGCCCCTCCCCACCGCAGCCTGGTCTGACCTGCCCCAGCCCCAAGCCAGGGAGTACTAGAAGCCTCGGCTTTTGCCTGGCCACCCCATGGCTGTTTCCAGCCTGCCCGTGAGACTGGAAATGTGATCTGGGGCCAGAGACTTCTGCTAGGGGAAAGGAGGCGGGAGCTGCATGTTATTGAGCTGGGTTGGGCTGGCCCCGCATGCTGTAGGAGCTGCATGCTATGGGGTCTGGTGGGGCTGGCTCTGCACACTGCCGCCATGTGCAGCCAGGGATTGGGGTGGGAGTGTGGGAGCCGCATGCTGCCACCATGTGCAGCCAGGGACTTGGGTGGGAGTGCAGGGACCTGTGGCTATGGAGCTGGGTGAGACTGGCTCTGTACCCTGCCACCACATGTGCCCAGGGACTTTGGCAGGAGTGCTATCACGCCATATGGGGCTGGCCCCACACACTGCCATCACCTGCAGTTGGGGTCTGGGGTGGGAGCATGGAGAGACTTGCGCTATGGGGCTGGGTGGGACCTGCCCCGCTGGCTGCCACCACATGCAGATCCAAGGACTTGCGCACTTTGGGGACTCCGAGGACCTGCCACCCAACACACACACACCCCTCCACACATCTCCCACAGCCCCCACATGTACTTCCACTCCCTACCAAACCCCGGTATAACCACATGACCCCGCACCCTCCCCCACGCACACATACATCCACACACTCCCCAACCGCCTCCCCATAATATACAAGAGTAAGACTGTATTTTGAGCTATTTTGCAATCACCACTAGATACACAGCATTAATGCACATAAATCAGGAGAAAATATTTTTTTAAATAAAATTACAGGACGTTATAGCAGATGTTTTGTTTGGTTTTTTGTATATGACTTGTTTTTTTCCAGTTTCAACATGGCAACCCCCCACCAAAAGGAATACTTTTGGGGATAAGGGGAGGGACTTCTGGTGGCAAAGGTCAGGAGTTAGGGATGGGACTTCGGGTCCTAAGGTGGCAACCAGGGCTGGAGCATAGTGTTGCCAACTCTGATTGAAGCTATTCCAGGAGATTTTTTTTCCCCAACATGACGTATTGTCATTAATTGTACTGCTCAACCCGTTCACAATATCAGTCTCCTGGATTGCTTTCAATAGTCACCAGGAGATCCAGACCGAATCCGGTAGACTCCCAGCCAATCCAGGAGCTTTGGCAACCCTAGTGGGGCACCTGTCAAAGTGTGGGGCTATCCTTGCAGCCCTCAACAGCTCACCAAAACTCATTAAGCAGCCCTCTAGCCAAAATAATTGCCCATCCCTGAACTTGCTCTGACTACTTTTTTCCCACTTCTTGAATATAGGTACTCAATTTGCTTTTCTTCACAAAATGTTATTATGTCTGATTTCATGGATTTATGTCACATTCCTGCCACCACACCTGTAGGTGCATGTGTCCATTCTTTCAGAATCCCAGAGCGGGTTATCTAGTCCCCCTGCCCTGAACACTTTGTGTTGTTTGAGTGTTGTTTCGCTGTGGCAAGTTCATTTCAGTTCCCATGTTGTTGGGCTGATTACACCTCTTGCCTTTCCCTTTGTGTTCAACATCAACCTTATTGACAGCTGAGGCAAAGTATTCATTCAGTTCTTGGGATATGTCTAGATTATTTGTAATCTCTACCCTATTCTTATTTCATAGCAGCCCTTTCTTTTCCTTCCTTGCCGCCTTATTTATGTAGCTGAAAAATGTTGGCTGTTGCTTCTAACTTCCTTTGCGAGGTCTAAATCAGCATGAATTTTGGCAATTCTCACTTTATCCCTATCCTTCCTGATCTCCAAAATGCAGCTTTCTTCGCTGAGTAGTTCTTTATCCCCCTTTCTCTGCCAGCACTCTGCTGATTTCTTCTCAATATATTCATCCCGTTACATCTTGAGCACTTCCCTACAAGTTTTTCTCTTTGCTTGGGATGCAAGTTCCAGGTAGATTCTGCACCTTTGACTTAAAGAAATTCTAAACCTTCTTCTCATTCAAGTCCCTGAACTCTTCAGTCCAGGTGATTTCACTACCTAGTTCCTTCATTTTCCAAATGCTGTCCTTTTGAAATAAAGAATCTTACCTATAGGCCTACTTTGGCTTGCTCTGCTCCATTTACATTAAAAAATAACCTTGAATAAAGTGATTTACAAATTTGCTTTTCTATTGCTTGTCAATTATTACCAAAACTTTACAAAACCAAGTATAAAATATCATTTCTTGTTGGTTCAGTAACTATGTGGTAAAGAAATCTGTCAACCATCTCATTCAGGAGTGTCTAGGGCCCACCCTTAACAGCATTTGTTCTTCAGTCTATATCTAGGAAGCTTTAAGTCCCTAGTAACATTGTGATTATTGGTAATATTTCCTTCTCCAGTTATATTACAGCGATGTCTAATCCAAATCTCACTCTGACCGTTTATAAACTGTTCCTAACCCCAGTTTTCACTT